ACAATTTCAAAAGAAGTGTTTCCAGCAAAAATAATGTAGTTCTGCTCTAAAACGCAAAAATGATTTTCTAGAAATTCTGAAACAGTAAGCAAGTACCTGCTCTGTATCACTTTGGGAAGGTCTTCAATTTTTTTGCTGAAAAAAATCAATAGCTTCCAAAAAATTATAACCAAAATTTCAATAGCAGAAACCAAACCAGGTATGTGCTCTTGGGAAGGACTATAAAGACTAAAATTATGCTTTGCCACCTTAGCTGGCTTGTTGTGGGCTCTCCCTATACCTCCTAAAATAAGAAAGTGGCTCTCAGATCTTTGATTTAGACACCTCCATACATTTCTCAAGTATGTAATCCCCCCTTCCTGCTTTGTGACATTAATAAGCTAAAGAGGAACAGAATCAACTGTCCCCTATTCTCCTGTTGTAACAGGTTCTTGCTCACTAGCCCCTGCCTCATATGATGCATGTGTTGTACTCAATAGCTCAGTAGCTCTTTCTAGACACAAGGATTGGGAAAACAACAGGACACTGTCTGCAAGGAGCTCATTCTCTTGCCTCCTTTGAGGCTCCATTGCCCCATTTTGCAGAAAGATAATGGACTATATGACTTCAGCCTGTATGGCTTAGACTCAAGAAAACTGATGTCATTTTGGTTTTCTGTTTTGATTTTACAAAAATCCCATAAACAAATGGTGTACATAAAAGAAAAGCAAGAAACACAGTAGTTCTTTGTGGAGAAAAAGCAGGGATTTCTAGACCATTCCCACTAGGGGGCAACAGACCCTTCACTGTGTCCTCCATCACCTCTACAGCTACCTGCCTTCTCCACCCCTCCCTGTCTCTAGGATGCTGAAAGTTTCTGGCATTGATAAGTTCCAAACAAAACTTGGACCTCCTCCATTGGAACAAATTGGAGTTCCTGAAATAGACTGACCCTTCCCTAAGGACGCAGCTCAGTCCCCATTTTAGTAGTTTCAACACTGGGGGCGGGGAGTATTACATGGATCTAAAGGTGAATGTGGGGGTACCCATAATCACCTCATTAAATACCTAGTGTGCTTTCTATACATTACAATCCTCCTCCTCAACCTAATTTTATAGGTTAGGAAAAGTTGGAAGGCTCTCTTGGTGTCCAGACCAACACCCTTAACACTCAGGCAGGAGTCAATGAAGCACAGTGACACTTATGATCACTATATTTATTCATATGGCACTCTTGTTTCCCTTCCACCATGAGAGCAGATCTCAGGAAATGGCTTGTCTCAGTCCACCACACTTCTCTGTGGGTGCCCACCAGACAGATCACCAAGAACACGATACAGTAAACAATTTGTTTAGTATTCGTTGCACCTAGAACCCACCACAGAGCTGTGGTTCATCTCAGTAAGGGAGGTGAAAAGGAACCTGGAGGACTGGAGCTTTGGTTGGGTGGCTTAGGTGCTGTGGGGAAGTGGGGAAAATTCCCATTGGGGAACTTACTCAACCTCATCAAGGTCAGAAGAGTAAAGGTAAAGTGAGAATTGGTAAAACAGCACTCACACAGGCTATGGACTGGGTGGGAGGTGGAAGTGGGGTATTTTGTGGCTTACACTGTGACCTTGTTTTTGCCTATATTTACGTAAATTATGAGGTACATTCTTTTCATCTCACTTTATCATGGTCACGGCATGACCTTGTCTGAGGCCCATGTTCTGAGATTGTTTATTTATACTGAAAAAGAAAACCCCACTGTCCAGCTCTGAGCACCAGTCTGGGACCTGACAACCTCCAAGCACAAGCTAGTTCCTGGCTGTCAGCAGTATTTTTCCTTCTCTTGACTCTTCAACGTTCTCTCGTGCCTGGGAGACGATGGGCGAACAGATGAGGCAGGACAGCCTAATACCCGCAGGACTCCTTATCCAAGTAGCTGGCTCCAGCATGCATCTGTGTCTCCCCTCCAAGATCCGTGAAGAAAGTCCCCCTTCAAACACCACTCATTAACACCCTGCCCCGACATACATCCATCTGACTAGAGAGCAACAGGAAGAACTTGAGCTTGTATCTTATGTCTCCTGACCCTGTTTCCGATACGCTGTGATGGTGCCAATTGGTGACCATCCCCCACTAAAACCTCAACTAATGATTACAAATCCAAGGGTTTTGCATACAGTTATTCAGTGTGTCTAAAATGTTCCCATCAGCTGTAAACAACAGAAAAGATACAGAATCTGTAGGCTCGGGGCACTTCTGGGGTTCACCAAGGTCCTCTCTCTGACCCTTCAAGGTGAACACAGATTGGGACAGGTGTGGCAAGGAGAGCCCAGGAAGAGCTGAGTGGTAATGTTTTAAATTTACTCCCCTCTCATTCCTGAGATTCACAGTCCCTTTTATTCTTGCACATTCCCTGCAAATTCCCACCTGAGGGCAGATTCTACAGTGCGTTTATCGTTCATTAACCATTAGACTCTCCAGGTGATGTTTCTTCTCAAAACCTGCAGCCTACACACTCACACAACCTTTTTTCCCAGAAAGAGCTCCTGTGAAATTCCACACTGCTGGTTATAGCTTGTATTCTAGATGTTTCCTCAAAACCTCATGTGCTCATACGCGCGGCTTTTCAGAGGTAGCTGAATATGGATTAAGGGTATGATAAATAAATTAGTCAACTGATTGGTTAAGCACAGTTCTGGGTGTGGGTAGTAGAAAGAAACACCCTAGGCGTGGGTGGCACCAATCAATAGGCTTGTATCCTGAAAAGAATATAAAGGGAGACAAAAAAAGGAAGGCTCCCTGCCTGCCATGCCATGCACTGTTTCTCTCCCTCTGCTATGCTGCCCTGCCTTCCCTGGAGCCAACTACCTATGGATTGAGACCTCTACAAACTGTGAGCTGAAATAAACCCCTCCTCCTTTAAAAATTCAGGGGTGTCAGGTATTTTGTAAAAGTAATTAAGACACTGCCTTACACCCTGTATGCTCAATCTAGGTAAAGAGAAATATTAGATGCACCCATGTAATTTATAACTTGAATACAACACCCTCGAGGTTGTGAATACTTCATTACAATCACATGGGATGTGAGCACAAACTAAGGAATCCTTTTTACAAAATCTCATGTCATTTCTGACTAGTCTCTCATAACCAAATGCAGTTATATTTCATCTGTAAGCTCCTCAAGTGTTTGGTTCAAAGCACTTTAAACCAGATGCGTACACAAAAATGAGAACACAGGTTAAGTGAATAAAATTGCTAGTCACATAGCTTAAAGACTCTTGTCCCCTGATTTAATTTGGTTAAGTTGGAGTATGTTTTAGTTATTTGGTAATAACATAAACAAGTGGATTAGAAATAGCAGACATTTGATTTATAAAATCACTGTTAGGGCTCTCAATATTCTTTCTCCTTTATTATGATAATTAAGATGTGAAACATTCAAGGCCATTGCTGCAACATAATGCATTTATAGTTTGTTTTTGAGATTGTGTCACCACTAGGAGGTAAGGCAATGCCAAAAGCAGGCAGGAAAGAAAGTGGGGCCCCTCGGAAGACAGGAACTGACCCACTCTATGGCAAAGTGCCATCCGCACAGTAAAACCAGGGCAAATGCCAGCAGTCCTCACTGTACTTCTACAACTTCAACTCGAAATTCCTTTTCCTCACAGACATTTCTTCCGAGCCAAGAAATGAAAAGAGGAACCCTATCTGCTTCACTCTTCTATGCCCCCAAATGCTACAATGCCTCACTCAGAAGGTATAAAACCATCGCTGAATTAAAAACCTCTCTACCCAGGGCATCTCTAGAAAAGCCTAAGTAGTTTATTTTTAGGATTATGCCCACAATCAAATTTTTTCCAGTGGGAACAGCAATGACTTAGTAAATATTTTCATCTTTATGTAAATTGAAGGCAATAATATGGAAGACTTCATTCTCTGTTAAAGGTGTTTTAAGTGTCAGAAAGATAATGAACATTTCTCATTTTTCAGTTTTGTTACCATAGCAGCTTGGTAGTAACAGGCCTATCCTATAAGACCCATTTGACAGACAGAGAAAACAAGGCCTGGAAAAGTAGACCATACTCCCAAGGTCTCTCCCTTTGATTTTCCTGGCAGCAGGAGACTTTCCCAACACTCTCTGTTCCCACTCAGTTTCAGCCATAACACCCCAGCAAAGGATGGGCACTCACCATTATAACACAGTACCATCTTTTTGGCCTGTGGGGTGTTATTTCCTTAGCTGGGCCCAGGTACAAATTCAGGTGACAACTTCTGTTCCATACATGCATTCCTTCCTGGAGACTAGTTGGGAAGAAAGGTCCTCCTGGGAATAACCACAGGCTTCATGGAGACTCCAGGGCAGGGACTATTATCTGCTGCATTCTGGGCAGGCAGTGAGTGCTGAGTGCTAGCTGCAAATTCTTGGAAGCTGGGATCCCTGGCAGCTCAACCAAGGCAAGAAGCCCAGAGCCAGGACGCCAACCCCTTATCTTCCTAGAAACCAGATGCTGGTAGTACCCTAAAGCTGTAAGCCACTTTATTTTAGGAATGAGTCTTTCATAACTAGTAAAGTTCCCACAAAGGAATTCAGTTGAATTAGCTACCCCCTTAATCCACTACTTTTCTCAATGAGCTATTCCCAAGATACAAACTTCTGGATTAATTCTGTTGATCTTTTTCACTCAAAAAAGTAGTGTGTGACCTCCAGATAACTGGTTTTATCAAACTTGACAGTAGTGCTGCCTTTACTGTCACAGTAACCAGAATTTTCTTTATATTTCTACTGCTTCAAGATTATGTTTGAAATGATTCCCTGGACACAAGACTCACTCCTGACTCGTACTTCGATAAAATGGATCTTAGGTCAACATGTGTAAGAGTACCCAGATATAATTCTCTAGAAAGAGAATTCCTATCTTATTTATTTTTTATTTTTTATTTTTTGCAAACAATTTTAGGGGCAGGGTGTTAAACTGAAATTTCACAAGATTGACATTATTGCTTAAAGTGCTTGAATTGGTTACATTAAAAAACTAAGGTACAGATTATTTTAAATAAAAACTACAAGTCTTTTTTAGCAACAAAATCAAGTGAATGCCACACAAATACAGTAATTATTTTTGTTATACAGAAATGGGAGCCAAAATAAATTAATGAAATACTAGAAAACAGAAATTTAATTAGGCAGAAAATAGGAAATAATTTTCACTAACCCATGCCATTTACATGAGTTAATAACAACAGTGCTGATAAATGCCTTGACCATATAATAGCAAAGGAGGGCAAAACATTTAGTGCACAGTATTTTAATACACATGAATATACAAAGTTGATCAAAATGCAATGTTCGAAGATAAAATCCATCTGTAATAAAGCTACACTCCAATATTTAAAATAAGCCCTAACTGCCAGTTAGAACATAGTTCCTTATTAGGCATGCCCATAAAATTAAGGATATTCATGAAAATAAATGCATAGGGACCATTTCTGTCATTTTTTCCCATTTCATCTTAAAAATATACCAAGCCATAAAATCAAGTATGACTGGCTTTCTATTCAAACCCATAGCTGATACTGTTCCTTGCTCTCTTCACACCAGTCCGCTTGGTGTTGCCTTGGAATGGAAAATGCATCCAAACAAGAGGACTGGATGTCAGCATTTTTATCAAAATCTGCTTTTAAACAAAAGACTTCAGCATACTGTACCATAATCTAGACATGAAAGTACTAAGTAACCAATAAAGCAAATATTTATTTTTTTCAAGTGTAAAACACTATCACTTATCTTAAATGCCCAGCAGTTAGAGAAATACAGCAGGCCTACTCACTCCTGCTGGAAAAAGACACAAAACCCTGGCCATTGGAGGGAGTATTGCTGAGCCTTTGTGCTATCACTGTGAATGTGGAATGGCCTCACATACCCCATAATATTCTCTGCTGTATTCTAGGAATGGGGACAGGAAGTAACAAAGTGTGTGCATGCTATTGTCTTTACATAAAGAAAAATGACTAGGGGAAAAATGTAGCTGCCTAGATTTTTTTTTTTTATCCAAGAAGAAGAGGTAAGAAATTACCAGATACCTCTAAATTTTTTAAAGCTGATGGAGTATTGATAGAGAAATGTTTTAGTCTTTTCTAATCCTCTTTTCTTGCATCACATAACTATTTGAATGTCTGTACAATGTTTTCCATTTTTTATTCCAGAAACTATCCATTTATTTATTCCAAAATCTATCTATGAATACTACATTTTAACTATTAAAAGCAAATACTTTAGTTAAAATCACTGGGGAAGTCTTTACATATTCAAAAAAGGAAAGAAAATGCACTGAACTTATGACTTAGCATTGAATTATTACTTCCACAGGCCTGCAATTGAAACATTTTTATCTAATAAATTAGCTTCAAGAGTGGATTCAAAGATAATTTTAATAGTTTTTTCTTATGAATCAGTTCCAAATATATTAGAATTCCATCATCATGTTCTTAAACTTTGTAACTTGCAGTCAAATATATGGGTTATATATAGTACAAACATTTCCTTATATCATTCACCTTCAATGGGAAAGTGACTTTCCTTTAAAGAATAAAATCACCTCCTAGGTATCTGACCACAGAATGTTTCATGGAGAGAAAAAAAAAGAAACTATTATAAATATGAATTTGCCTCTAATCAAGGCAAGATACATTTTCGTCACTTGTATGAAACAATAACATGAAGATCACCCTGTTTTGTCTTCTCCAGTGAAGAGTAAAACATTTCACTTCAAGCATGAACAAATGAAGTGTTGGCATGCTTAAGTTCTGAGCAACAAACAGTTCAAGATATTTAAAAAATAAGAAATCCAGTTTTTATCTAGATAAAGTGCTATCCTCTTCATGGTTGCAAAATGGCCACTAACATTTTCAATTTTAGTTCACATTATGCCAAGAGTTTGCATGTTTGTTCGCAGATGTATTAGGTAACAAAGTTATGTTCACAGTATATTATAGTGTATGGAAGTCAACCGACTTCTCAAAGGAAGTCAAGATCTATGATTCATAGTATTTTAGGAAACCAAAAACCAGCTCAACAGCAAAACACCAAAATGACCCTTTTAATAAAAGGTACCAATACTCAAATGCTCTAATAAATACATATGTAACAAAAGTGGAAAAAGTAAAAGTAACTATAGTGAGATGAGGTTCTTCCAAAAAACTCTTGTCTTGTCAAGCATTCTAGGAGTTGGAGCCAGAGAAACAGCTGCCATCTCATTCCTTGGTTGTTAACACTTCCCTCGATCCACCTCATAACCCCATTAGCTCCAGCACTGACTCCAGCAAGGGCTCCATTTTAGCCCTGGAACTTGCCAGTGCCTCAGTAAACAGACTGAATATGTTAAAAAAAAAAAAAAATCAAGCTGATGGGCGGCTGGTGGTTGTAAAGGTGCAGTGCTTCCAACTGCTCATGACGTGGAAGGACAGCGGTGCTGACTGGCTAAGGAGAGATGTGCCAGAGGCAGTCAGTGTGGTGTCTCAGCCCCAGGACCACAGACTGCAAGACATCAGCAGGATTGGAAAGGCAGCTTGAGAAGCTTAGCAGTCCCAGGTAGGGGTTAAATACAACTCACAGGACCTTACAGAAGAAAAGTGTCACCAAAAATTAACAGCATCGAGATTTTTTTTCCTGAAACTTGGTTTTGGTAAGAAGACAAGAAGAGTGATTTTTTACTGTCCACAGAAACTTCTTCCTCTTGGCTTTGCCTGCCCTGAGCTCCGTAACTTCTTAGCCCCTGGAATTCTACGGCTAGGTCAGCACAGCCCCGTGCAGACTCCAGCCACCAAGCACAGCTTCTCTTCACCCTCCTCTATGTGGAGGATGATTTTTAACATCAGGTTTACTCACTTTTAAACATTTTCCCTTGCACAAACTTAAAGCTATAGTTGCAGCCCTAACAGGTGAACATCTACTCAATTCTTCTGTCCTTCTGTCAGATAAGCTAAAAATGTGTAGCAATGCTTCCAGGGACAAGTTAATGGAATGGATTGAGAGGAGACCCCTGAAGTTTCGTAAACATTCAAAGTAGACTGTGACATTCCCTGGAAATCTCATTCTAATTTAGCCAGACATAACAAGTGGCATAGCATTCACCCAAATCCTCAAATTAGCAACTGTTATTCATATAAATCTTATGACAACCTGATTGCAGTTCACTCTACCTCAGACCAAAATAAAACCAAGAGTAGTGTTGCATGTAAAACAAGAGGAGGAAGTTTAACACAGCCAGACCATTGAGACTCGGAGTGATAACATTAGTGGGCTGCTGGGAAAGAAGGAGGTCTGCGGAGAAATTGGGTAACAGTGCTTTGAACAATGCCCCCTACTTGAATTAGTCCCACGGTTCTTTAAGTTACTCTCTTGACTGATAGAATAAAATATATCCAGATTCTGAATTTTTTGATATATCTGATGTCAGGCCATAGAATTCTTCAATAGCTTGAGCATCTATTTTCTGCAGTGAAGGAAAAAGAAAACAATGCAATTATTTAACATGATTACTGGGGAAAGGAAAACTAATGGACAATACAATAAAATTTAAGAAATACTAGCTGTTATAAAACCACAGTTAGAACCTCTGATACCAAACAGATACTTCATAGACTTGACAGAGGGGCATCATTACATAAAGTGCAAATCACTGGGGAAGAAAGCCACCCTTTCATCCAATAGTAACCATTACTGTGCATTCTTTGAAGAAGCCAGGAATTCTGTCTCTCAGAATGGGAAATTGGAAGGTCTGGGAATAATTGTTAGTTATTTCTTAATTCATTCAGGCCCTGAGAGTTCATTTCCTTTACTGTCGGATTAAAAGAGATCATGTCTTCGAGTGTAGCATTTGCTTCATCTAGTATTCCTTTACAACAAAATCAATATGTGAAATATAAAGATTTCCAAAGCCAATAAACATATATGTACATACACAAAGGAAATTTTGTTATAATAAAAGAATTTTACTAGAACTCTGAAATCTATTATTTGCTCTGTAGTACACAGAGCTTTAGTAAGTGTAGAAATTGTGATTTATGGTGGCATCAAGATTTAGAGATGCCATCTGGATGGCTGATCAGCTAACAAGAACACAGTTGTCCACAATCACACTGCTCTCCCTGTCCAGGGAGAACAGGATCCACAGGCATTAATTTTGACAGAAATATAAAGTTTTCAAGTTAGATTATAGGAAACCTGGACTATTTTAGTAAACACACACAACCCTCTCAAATTCTATATATATACCATATTCCTATTAAAGAAAAACTGCATACTAACCTCTACAATGTCGTCGTCAAACAAAAGCCAGAAACCATGACTTTTCACAATAGTAATATAATGCCCACGATTAGGGCCACTGGAAAAGAACAAACAAAAGAAAGGTACCGAGTAAACATTTATTTCCTTATAAAACTATTTTGCCATCTATTAGCACTGACTCACTAGGGGGGAAAAATAACATCATCAGGATGAAGAACTTGGTATACCCAGGCATGGTGGTACAGGTCTATAGTCACAGCTACTTGGGAGGGTTCAGGCAGAGGGCAATTTGAGCCCAGGAATCTGAGACTTCAATCTATGCCCACAGTTTATGGAGGAGCACCTGGGTGCTGGAACCATACTTGTCAAAAATAAATAAAGTGTATGAAAGGGATGATTTCTAAGGAGTTGGAGTCCAATGGGGAAAAGAGACATTCAAATCAGCAAATAGTTACCGCTTACCTACTATATGTCAGATCTAAACTCCAGCTGACAGGAAGAACAACGAATAAAATAAGTTCCCACTTGCTAGGGGCTTGGTGTTATGGAATGAATATGTGTCCCAAAGTTTGATGCTAGAAACTTCATTCGCAATGCAACAAGAATTGAGAGGCAAGACCTTTAAGAGGTGATTAATGCTGTTATCCTGAGGGTGGCTTTGTTACAAAATCAAGATCAGCACCTTCTTCCTATCTTTTACATGCTCTCCCCATGTGATATCTTCTGCTGCACCATGACTCAGCAGGAAGAAGGCCTTACCCGATGCGGTCCCTGGATGTTGGACCTTCCAACCTGTAGAATTATGAGCCAAAGAAACTTCGATATAAACTACCCAATCTGTGGTGTTCTGTTATAGCAGCACAAAAGAGACTGAGACACTAAACTCTTAGTACATTTTCAGCGGTGGTACATGCAGTGAAGAGACAGCAGGATAATGGGAGAGAGTGCAATGAGGGAAAGATACTGTTTAATGAAAGGAAACCTTTTCTGGAGGCTTCCCTGACAAGTGGGATTAGTGCAGAAGAAAATTCTCTTGAGGGAAATGGGGGGGCAGAGAGGGGGACTTATGTGACTGCATGACAGAAACTTCAGGAACAGGGAACAGCATGTGAAAAGCCAGCAGTAAAGTCAGTACGTGGCTAGTTGACAGACAGCTTGAAGGCAGAGTGGGTGGAGGTGAGTGAGCCCCGGGGAGCAGGGAGGAGAGACAGCCAGAGAGGAGGTGGGGGCAGATTGCATGGGGCCTCCCTCCTAAGATTTCAGGCTAAGATTTCAGACTTCATGCTGAGAGAGCCATGGAGACAATGGGGAGTTCTGAGGATTGGTATTAACAAATCAGAAAGCCTAACTGTTAATGAGGGCCTACACATAGAGGTACACAGTGCACAGTACAGAAAGAAGTAGAAAGAACAATCGCTACTTTTCAGTTATGTTAAATTTACACAAGGGGAATTCAATCCTAAATCCAGACTTGCTCAGCCGCCCCCCGTGTTAGTGTAAATACAATCATCGTGGGGATGTGGTACATATACATAATGCACCTTGATCCTCTTTAATGCACCACTGAAGTTGAAAAGCTGAATCCCAACCCTTGCCTCCTTCGTTTGCCTTCTTTCAATACACAATATCCTGCAACACCTTCCCTCACTGCACTCTCTCTCGTTACCCTGTTTTTTCTTCTTCATTGCACGTACCAACACTGAACACGTATTAAATGTTCAGGGCAGCCAGTGTGTTTCCGTGCTTATCATCCATTCATCTGTCCCACCAGACCCTAAGCTTCAGGTAGGCAGGGCCCTTGTGCTATAAGCTGTGCTCACTTCAGGACTTTCAGATCTTGGCACAAAACGCAGGCAATAGGAGCTCAAACCCCAGGATGCCACTCCCTCCCCATATACAGGCCAGCCTGCCTGCGGGGGTGGAGTTTAAAGCATCCTACTTAGCAGCATGTGTGACTGGAACTAACTTGCTCCCGGGGCTGCATGAACTTTGAATGACCATTATAGAAACTGATGATTTGGGAACCCATCTCCCACAGGTCCCCCAAGTCCCCTAAATAACCCCAGCAGCCCTCCCACGGATTAGAGTCGGGCACCTACAGAGACCCAAACTGAAAGTGCCCTGTGATATGAGTGTTTCTCTTTCCCCTCACCCAGCTTCCCCGTCACATCTTGCTGATCCACAGTCGCCACCACCTTTGATGACCACCCATACCAAGCTCTGCCTGTCCCAGGCCTCCTCCAACCTTCCCCAGTGTGGGGTCTCCCCAATGTTCATGGTTGGGTTCCGTTAACTGGGCTCTACTACATTCCTCAGAAGAACGACTGTTAGAACTATTCTTCAGGAGAACACAAAGCTGGCTCCTAACTGACCAATGAATATAAGTTGTTGAGACATAAGAAAACATCCTGTGACTTGACCCAGGACAAAACATGGAGTGCACCAGATGTGAAGCTACAGTTTCTGATACCATGTATCTCCACATGGAGTGAAAACGAAATCCGCCCATGCCCAACATGCTAACAGTATGCTCTTGGTAATGGCACTTTCACTGCATCTCATCCAAGCAGACGGAAAGGAAATCATGCTTGCTCTATACAACATACCTCAAGCCAAAACTTACACTGACCAGAAAACAGGTTTTTCTATCCCAAAGGGAACCTGCATCTGTCCCCACTGAGCAAACGGCAAAAAGGTGGATTTTCAATATACTTTTCCACACTTATCCCAACTACAGAACTTTTTTAAATGCCAAATGACTTTAGGCAAAACACTTTGCTTCTCCCTATATAGAGGTCTTCTCTTTTCTGACAATAAATACTTATTGTAGAATGTGGGGAAAAAACTGAAAATGTTTGCCTGAAGAACTTAAGAATAGCTTTTTAAACACTCAAAATGCCACAAAATTATTAAATCTGCTTTTTGTTTTTAGTTGTTATATATTTTAAAATACTTTTGAGATCATCCTACATGTATGTAATCTGGCTTTTTAAAACATTAAAATTACAGCACAAGCTCTTATTTCTCCATGTTATTTAAAACTCACCACAGCATCATTTCTATCCAACAGAGATTTATTAAATTACTTCCCTCATAACAAATACCTGGATTACCACTACTGCAGTGCTATTTATTTTATGTGTGTCTCTAGGTATGTCTGTGTACAGTCATACAACACATGATACATCTCAGTCAACAGCAGATCTACCCCAGAAGATGACACTGGCTCGAGATGTGGCCACCTCAGAGTAAGCAGTTTATGATGTCTGCACAATGAAATCAGGTAACATCACAATTCATAGAACACATCCCCACTGTTAAATGATACAAGTTTGTACTTTTGAGGTGACCAATAAGAGTTTGGATGACATTCCCAAAAGTACTGTGTCCCTGCCCAGTAAGGGTGCAGCCAGGTGTATTTCAGCAACGAAACAACCCCTGTGTTTATCATGCGCACCTGGTTCCAGCCCACCTTTACCTGCCACAGTGAACGACCACAGCAACCAGGTCATACATGCGGTCCAGGTTCACGGCATCACTGGAGGTGTTGAAGAGCCGGAGCTCCAGAGGGAAGACCACTCGGTAAGACAGCTTGGTGTACCTGTGGAGCTGCTCCATGTACTTGAACCGCTTTAGGTGCAGGGCCAAAATCATGGGGAGTTTTTTTACCCTCATCCTAAGAAACCATAGAAAGATAATCAGTTGAGCCCAACTTGTCAGAGGAAGAGAATACACTGTCATTTGTACAAACAAGAGCAGAAAGGGACCTAGTACCTTGTAGACTAGCAAAGAGCCAAACAGTTTGCAAGAAGAAAAGTTAATTTACCGGTGGAAAGCCGATTTAGACTATATCCTTAGCAAAACAGAGCATGGCCAGCCAAAGCACAGTAGTGTGTCTCAGGGCAAAGCAGACATTCTAGAATTTGTGTACCAATAAAAACATGATGTGCTCTTGCCATCTGTCACTGGTAGAATGTATTTGGATAATCCAGCCCTTGAGATACTGACAAGAAGACTGACAGCTTTTGAGAAAAGGGTATTGGGAAGAGGATGAGCCAGAAGGGCACAGACAGAACTTCAGGCTCTGAGGGTGACAGGAGGAAGCTTCGGGCACACACCCCTTGGCTTCAGACACAAAGGATACAGTGCTCACTCTCACTCCTGACTCTTGGGAGCTTTAGCAAGTTAGTGCCTTCTTGTGGCTCTCACTTTCTCCTTTTATAATGCAGGAGTTGCCTTGGGGCTACACTGGAGATGTCAGCGGATGCTGTATTCTGAAGGTGATGTTTAGACAAGGCTACTTCCTATTTAAAGCCTTCCCAGTACATCAGTACACTGAAGCTCCGAGAAATCTTGAGGCAAAGGAACTGCTCTGGTTTGTCTGAAGGAGCATGTCCGAAACTCACATAAGCACAAAAAGCTTTTCTCATTAAATGACTTAAGATTCCTCAGTAAACTGTTACAACCCTAAGAGCTTCTGTAGATCTCACTCCTGGAAGAGACGCTTCCAGTTACTCTCCACGTCCCCTGCACTATGGGTGTCCTCACATGGTAAATACCGTTTGGCTTGAGCCCACTTCCAATGCATATTGTTTGAGAAGGACAAATTTTAAGAGAATAAAATAAAACCCTGTTCATAAAAATAATTAAAATAAAAACATTCATAAAAAACATAAGAACTACAGGAGACATCCTATTTTATAGGAATATATGGCATTTTAAATGTATAAAGCCTCCAGAGCTAAACAGAAAACACCTTCATAACGCTCAGGCAGACTGGGATTGTTAGGAAGGAAAGCACAGGTGAATTCCCTGTCCTCCAACAAGAAACACCACCTACCACCTGCACTGCTTAACTTCAGGAGCGGTTGATCTTTTCTAAGTTCTGAAACATCAAGAAAGATGTACGTGTCTAGGCTGGAAGGTTGAGGAGGCTCAGCAAAGAAATCATTTCAGTCTCAGGTCTGGACCCATCCCACTGCTTCCCCTCAGCTTTAGCAATTTTGAGCTCCTTCGAGCTACCAAGAAAACTGCAGAACCACTAGCAAGATAAATTTAACTCTCAGTAAGGCTCCTTGGGATGATTAAAATGTCAAGCTTCTTGGCCTCCGGGGGCAGATAAAGGGAAACAACTAGCAATCTCAGATTCTCCAAGAACTGTAACTGGCAACTGCTGGTAAAATGATGGGAAACTTTGCATCCTATATTCTCTTCAGAACACAGTAACTTTCTTATCACCTCTCTCTGCAACTGATGTGTTTCTGACTCTCTCACAATTTCTTAACAAATGATAGATTTAAAAAAAAATCTCTGTAAAGAAGTCCCAATGTCTAAGCAATACAACAATAATATATGGTACTGTATCTACTTTATGATATGTTCTGTGCTGGGTATTTTATATAGTTTAACTTTAATTAGAGAGGTGAGTGATTACAGTCAATCTCCACTTATTTACCCAAGTATGTGGCACACAGCACCACTCAATATCCATTGGGTGAGAGGCTGAAGGAAAGTGGACAACTTTCCAGACAAATGGACTTCAAAGTTCAGCATTCTTGTCTTAGTTTTACTGGAAAGTAAATGACCCCCAAAAGCTCCATGAAGTCAAGATTCAAAACCAGACTTGTTGTGCACCAGTCTGACTCCCCCTCGTAACACCAAGCCACTCCCAGGCTGAATCCTTTACGTACCTCTTCTGGGCCTCCTGCTTGCTGCAGCATGTTTCACAATAATATTTTTGTTCACTACACAGTGTTTCTGTGTTGCTGAAGTCTCTGTAGAGAAAAATATTTTCAGCTTTTAAAAAGTCCAAACGTACTTGGTACACCACGTTTTAAATCCTTCTATTAGCTGAAGGGTGATTTTTAAGTGAAAATAAGGAAAGCAGTAATCGGAAATGATCCTTCTTAAGACTAGGGCCTATATACACCATTATAGCATGTCTACTAGACTGGGTTTTCAAATATAACTTTATTTAGGAGGATACAAACAGATACAACCTAAAGTTTCCAACAGATTCAGGAGAAAAGTTCAGGATTTAACAGTGGACACTGGTAAACTGGATTATAACAAAAATACTTTCATAAAAACATACCCTAACACTGTAAGTCAGTCCAAAAAAGATAATCACATAAACCACAAGGTGACATTATTGTGCAGTTAATGAAAAACAGTCTCATAGGACCCATATTTTCAAAGAACCTACAAATGCCCTTATATTGAACTAAGAAAATCCAATGATATAGGAGGTAAGTGCAGCCTACCTTGTTCCTGCTCTCCACCACTCCCCCACCTCCCCAGAATATAAAAAACGTTAGCCTGCCTCTTTCCAAGAACAAAAGCCATTGTGTTTGTTCTATGTGTATTCATCTTATCATAAGGTTTTACTCTGCTACTTATACTTTTCATTTTTCAAATGTCATGCCCTTTCATTCTTTTCTGGTTGTAGAGATTCTACTTAACATTTTCTGTGGTTTGCTTCAAAAGGCTGAAAAGAACATCAAGAATATAATAATACCCTGCAGTCTTGAAAACGCCTGTGACATTTCCTTATTCACAGAGTGTCCTGGGAGCAGAATGGTCAGATTTTATTAAATAGAAAATGACATTTAAATGATGTTAATGACTCTACCACTTACACAGAACCTATCAAAAGAAAAAAGAGATTGTTCATTTAATAAATCCCTGGACATTTACTGACAGTCCTCTGGGCTAGTCCCTGGGAATTCCAGGGTACCTGGTCTCACAGAGCTCACAGTTTACATAGTTGTACACAGGAGCTGGTGACCACACATAATGCTCAGTGCCACTTCAACACATGGCACGGCACATCACTCCCCTGCCATGGCTTCCTTATAAGACAGATAAAATACAGGAATAGCCAGGCACCATGGCACACAACTGTAATACAAGAAGTGAGGAAGGTTGAGGCAGGAGGATCACAAGTTCAAGGCCTGCCTGGGCAACTTAGTGAGACCCTGTTTCACAAGAAAAAAAAAACAAAAGAAAAGGCTGGGGATGTAGTTCAGTGTGAAGGGCCCAGGTTCAACCCCCGTTACTACAAACAAACAAAGGAATAAAAGCCAAACTCCTCTGCATGTGCGATGGTCATCACAAGGCATCTTGCCTTCTTTGCTCCAGACACACTGGCTGTGGACTGCACTCTTGCCTTGGGGCATTTGCCAGTGCTGTTTCCTTAGCACTCACCACTCCCCCACCCCATGCCTGCATAGCTGCTGGGCTAGCTCTTAGGACCTCAGTGTACATATCCCCTACACAGAAAGGACTTTGCTGCTCACTCTGTCCAATCACCCAGCCTCATCACATAGCCGTCTGCTTTTCTTCAGCAACCATGCCCCTATCTTGAAACACTCTCCTCCTATTCATCTGATCACCTGCCTGCCTCTCTCACAGCTGTAGCCCCAGCCTGACTTATAATGGTGGCACTCAATATTTACTGGCTGAATGAATGAACTAGCAAAATCACAACGAAGGAAAAGCAAAGAGGAAGAAGGCTGAACTTGAACTGGGGCACTTCAGGGAGTTTCCCCAACGGGCAATGACAAAGTTATATTCTCAAAGAGGGAAAATGTGCTGAGGTTCAAGAGTCAGGGAACTGCAGACACACCGAGGCTTGGCACAGACATTGGTGCACAGGAGGGAGCAGGGCTGCCATGCATGATGTGGCCTTGAGTACACTAAGAGGCTGGAATGGATCCTCAGGCTCTGGAGCCCCACGATCAGGTCTTAGAAAGATCAAGACCCAAATGGACACTGCTTTGGAGAAACACCACTTTGGGTAGTACTAAAGAGGAAGAACTGAAGGGGATCAAAAGCCAAAGAAAGCATTTAGAAGGCAATTATACTCAACTTTCAGATTCCAAGTGTTTGAGGCATAAACTTAGCTGAATGGGTACTGCTGTGAAACCCTGACTCACTGGAGTAGAATATGAAGGGAAGGGGAATATGGACAATAATGGGGATTCAAAGTTGTGGAATGCCCCCCCAACAAATCTCTTCAGCTAAAGAATCAGAATAACTAAGGAGAGCCTGGCAAGACTAAGGAATTGAATGTTTTCTTTTCACCCCTACATCTCAAAAAAATGTTCCTTGTAGATCCAAAAATGAATACAGTAGAATTGTACAGGTTGAGCATCCCTAATCCCCAAATCAGAAAACACACCTCATCCCAAGCACTGAAAAAAGGGATATTAAACCTGTACTAATTTAAAAGCTCAATTTATGAATATTTACCATGCTGCCCAGGCCGAGCTGGTGCCATGAGAAGCATGGTTGTCCTCTTATTCATCTGAGTTAAGAAATGGAAAAGTGTGAAAAAGGGGCTGACCTCAGCGTAAACTGAGGCAATGCAAGTCTGTCAGTTCAAGGCAACAGCTGTTGGAAAAAGTGGGTGACAAAGGCAGAGGAAGTTTTCAAGGAGGAAGTCAAAGCAGAAGCTCTTTCTCACACTCGAGATGAATTACAAAAGCATGGAGAGGAGATTAGGGGAAAAGAGTGAAGCTCTATTTATTTATTTATTTATTTATTTTTAAAGTCTTAGTAGCAATCA